TCGGCGAAAATCCTCCGGCTGAACCCTCCACGAGGGTGCCGACTGGTAATGGCCACTACAATTTAGGTTCTGTACGATGTCAGAATGGTGTCCAGCTAAGATCAGAAATCAGTGCTATGTGCTTAAGCTCCTCAATAGCTAAGTTATATGGAAATGGTTTTTGATCGTGGCCTATGGAGGTAATGGAGGAGCAAACCTCTCTAAAAAAGCTCTGGGTTGGAACAAGGTGTTAGACGACCCGTGCTGATGTTCAGCCTGGCTGGGGACCCAGATTAACAAATAGCCCAGTCTCGAACGGAGTGCTCCGGATACCTGGCGACCTCCGGTTCTATCAAGCCTTACTTGCGCACACGGACCTCTGTGCGGGCGGACCTCCATTGTCCGACACTCGTGGGACCAAAATTATGAGCGCAATTTTTAACAAAAAACAACACAACAAGGAGGACGGCCCTCCAAAAAAACCGACAGGGGTGGCTCCAATTAATGCTACAGCCTCGAGCAGGGCATTTATCGGACCGCCAGTGACAGGAGTTAGAGGGGGCTTAAGCGGTAGGGCTGGTCCTGGTACGAGTACCATAGGAGGCAGAGGGGGGAGTGGAGGCTTGGGCAAACCGGTCTCCAACCGATTCATGGCTGGAGCTGCAGCGTCAGCTCCGCCTAGGGAAGTCAGACCCCAAAGCACACACACCTTAACCCAAGGGCGGGGTTCGGCACCTGCTTCGAAAATAACCCGGCAGGATGCTGCCGACATTCCGAGCAGCTCGAGGAAAGTTGCAAACACAGGCCTGGGGGGGTCGGCTAAACATGTCCGCCCCTCGAAGCAGGCCTATTATGACAAAAAGGCGGCCATGAGGGTCGTGAACAAGATCGGGGACCTGCCGACAGAGCAGCTCACGGAGGAGCAGGTTAGGTCACTGGAGTGGGCGAGGGGAGTAGTAGCCAGCTTGGGAAGACCGGCAGGCTCTGCTCCAAAAAGGCAGCGGTCTGCTGAACAGGCAGGGGGTGGGGTCACCAAAAGACCAAGAACAGGCGGCCATAAATACCCCACCTTCAGGGACGTAGTGAAGGGAGGCGGTGAGGTACTGGCAATCATCGACAGAGGGGAGGAGGAAGGGACTATCCCCAAAGAGAAGTGGAGGTTGGTGGAGGAAGCGATCGCCGAAATCTACCTCCAAGTCCTAGAGGAAAATCCTGGACCTCCTCCTCTCTGCCATGATTCCGGATGGTATCAGGGTAGAGCTAAACTCATCGCCTGCGAGGACCATAGCTCAGCCCAGCTCTATAGGTTGGCCGTTAGTAAGGTAGGTGAAGTTTGGCCGGGAGCCAAGCTCGAGGCCGTCAACAAGGAAGATATTCCTAGCAGACCGAGGGCTCGAGTTTGGATTCCGGCCAGACCCGCCGAGCCTGAAAGAATTGAGCGGATCTTCAGATCCTGTAATAAGGACCTGCCAAGTCATAATTGGAGGATAGGGAAGATAGAGGAGCCAGTAGAGAATATAAGGCAGGTGTTGCTGATCCTCAACGCCGAATCGCTAGCCCCACTGGCGCAAAAGGATTGGACGGTGAGATTCGGGTTTAATGACGCAACCATTCGAATCTACCGCAGCGACGAGCCGAGCTTGGACCTTAGTGAGGAGAGCGACAAGTCCGGCCTGCGCAGCGGTGGTGAAGAAGGGTTGCCCAGCAGCCAATGCTCATCTGACTCGGAGAGGCTATCCGGATTGGGGCCATTATTCTACGAAGAAGACCTCCTCGCCGATGACACCGAGGGTGAGGAGATCGAAGAGGCGGACGTGGATGTCACGATGGTGGAGGTAAAACGGACAGATTCTGATGAAGCTGATCCAGATCAACCTCCACCACTCTAAACTCGCGTCTGCGAACCTTGAGGTCCGCCTGGCTGCCGGTGGACTCGACGTTGCCCTCATCCAGGAACCGTGGATACACGGCAATAAAATCTGCAGACTTGGAATGAAGGGCTTTAAGCTTATTGCCGCACAAAATGCAGGTAAGACTCGAGCTTGCATATTAGCAAGGAACAACTTAAACATCTTCCTGCTCCCACAGCTTAGTGACGGCGATCTGGTAGTGGCAAGCATTGAGCTGGACAAAACCAGCTTTTGGGTAGCCTCTGCCTACATGGCCCATGACAAGTACGTGCCACCAGATGGGTTTCGGACCTTGGCCGAGGAAGCAGCCTTCAAGAACAAACCACTGGTTGCCTCCTGCGACGCTAATGCCCACAACTTGATGTGGGGGAGTACGAACACGAATGCTAGAGGTGAGTCGTTACTAGACTTCATTCTAGGGAACAAACTTAGTGTCTTGAATTTAGGCTCAGAGCCGACCTTCATAACAAAGAGTAGAGAGGAAGTTTTGGACATAACTCTGGCTTCAGAATAAATGCACAAAGCTTGCCTACGCCCTTTCTCAGCTTTTAAAAACGATTTATTGCTCTATATTTTTAAAACCTGTTTTGTGAGGCCTGTTTGAGGCGTGGCC